CTGTATGGGGGGGGCCCTATATAACAGGGGAAGGGGGTCGCCTATGTAACGGGGACAACACTGTATAACGGGGATGAGGACAGCCGGTACAGTGGGGACCCCTCTGTCCCAGGGGGTGAGGACCTCTATGCGGTGGGGGCCCCCCCCAGACCGTGGGGGATGAGGACACCCTGTACATTGGGGACCCCGCTATCATGCAGCATAGGGATGCCCTATATAAGGAAGGGGTGAGGACCCCTATGCAGTTGGGACCCCTGTATCAAGTGGGGGGTGGGAGGGGGACACCCTCTACAATGAGGACTCCTATATAAGGGGGACCGTGTATATAGTGGGGTGATTGGGCTCATCCCCTGCTACCTAAAGGGGTCCCATCCTGTATAATGGGGACCACTTTGTAACAGGGGGAGGGACCCCCCCCTATAAAACAGAGGGATGAGGTCCCCTATGCAATGGGGACCCCTATATAATGATGGGATGGGTACCCCCTAATATAAGAGGGGATGAGGACACCCTGTGTAACAGGGATCCCTTGTAACAGGCAGGGTGGGACCCGTACATTACTGGGGGAGGAGGACCCCTGTACAAGGGGGAACCCCTCCATAGTGGGGGATTGGGACCCATTTATAAAACAGGGGATGTGGACACCCTGTATAACGGGGACCACTTTATAACAGGGGGAGGGGGGCCCTCTCTATAACGCAGGGATGAGGTCCCCTATATAATGGGGGGATGAGGACCACCGAATATAATGGGATGAAGATGCCCCGTGTAATGGGACATTGGTATAAAAGATGAAAGGGACCTTCTGTATCCTAAGGACCCCTGTAGGATGGAGACCCCTATAAAATGGGAGGGATGCGGGCCCCTGTATAACAGAGACTCCTGTATCATAGGGACCCTATATAAAGGGGTGGGAAGGGACGCCCTGTGCCATGGAGACTCCCACCTGTTTTTGCAGGGAGTAAAGGAAGCCTCTTTGGGCTGGAGATCAGCCCCACAGGAGTGCCCTTAGCACTGGGGTCTTGCCAGTGGGGCTCCTGCGATGGCCAGGAAGCAGGCTGGGATTAAAACAGCGGGCTGCCTTATGGAAGCAGCTCATGCCTGAGCCTTGCAGGAGAGACGCAGCCCTTTGGCAGCTCATAGAAAAAGGATCGAAGCCACAGGCCCAGCATGTTCAGGAACATAGGGATAGTGGCAGGGACCTGCTGACAGGGTTTCTCTTGAAGGTTGGGCATGAGCCTCTACCTCCAACTGTTGGAAGAAATGTGCTGGGAAGAAAAGTACTGTACCTGCCTGGCTTCTTCACATACGGTGAGCATTTCTTTCTGCCAGCGCAAGACCATGACTCGAAAACAGGATGAAAACGGGTGGGAGCTGCTTGCTAGGAGGCCAGGTACACCCAGCATGGTGTTGGACCCAGCACAGGCCAGTGCCTGTGCAAGCCAAACTTTAGCAGCGCTCCCACGTCTCCTTGCCAGCGGCATCCCTGCGCTCAATCTGAGGTTCAGAGGAGACGTAAAGTGCTACAACTAACTGAAAAGCCATCAGATTTACGTACCTCTTGTTGCAAGGAGGGAAAAAGAAGGTGTTGGCCCGGACGCTTGGTGCTGGATCTTCTTCCCATGGCACGTTGCACTTCAGGGGCTCTGCAGCACAGCTTCAGCTTCTGTAGGGCGGATGGACCACAGAGAGGATGCTCTGCAGAGCCCTCTGCTCTTAGTACATATGCTGGCATTAGGAAGCGGTGGTTAAAGGTCTTGGCCGGTCTCTCATGTCGCTGCCAAACGAGAGGCTTGTTCCTTGGCTGGGGCTAATGTTTGGGCAAGAGCAGATTCGCTGGGGGGCAGAGACTGTAACGAGAGGAGGCTCACACTCAGGATGAACCAGCTGTTGGCTCTGTTTCGACAGTGCTTTGGTTTGCACCACAGCTGAGTACACACCGGGGGTTTATATGATGTAGGTTTGTCGGTGGAGGGTTTTGCATGCATAAGAGATGGTTAAGTTCCTTTCTTCACTACAAAACAGTCCTTCAATAACTTGGCCTCCTGCCCTGCTCATTTGTATTGTAGATGGAGCCCTAAAGGGACAGAAATACCAAGAAAAAGGGAAGGTAATATATTTAGAAGGAAAAAAAAATATTATTTTTCTCTCTTTGCGGGTGGAGCAGTGTGGGAGAGGTGGGCAAACATGGTGTGGCTTTGGGGGTTGCTTTCCCTCTTTCATAGAAGGTTTGTAGCGCGTTGAGGAAGGGGAGCGCATAGCCCTGAGAGCAGAGTTGAACTGACCCCAAAATCAGATGGCAGTACCTGAAGGACAGGAGGACCTGGTGCAGGAGCAGTACGGAAGCACTGCAAACCTGTCCTAGGGCTTCTGGGGCTGAAAGTGCTCCAGCAGTGCTCTATTAGAAGAAGATGCATTTTCGAAATAGATTTACAGCACTAGGATCTTCTGGGGCAAGGAATATGTGCTGTGCCTTCCTGGCTGCACTCAGAGCAGCAGAGGAGGAGGGCAGGAGCAGTTGGCACCTGCACAGCCCATAGCAGGCTGTATTCCATCCTGTTACACCAGGGATAAGTTGGATCTGTTGGGGTTTTTTTGGGCTGGAGACATGACTTGTCCACCATCTGGGAGAAGGTAGCAGGGCAGGAACTGAACCTGGGTATGTCAGATACATGTTCACCCCAACACTGACTTCCCAGGGCAGAGGGAGGAGATGACGCCATGCAGCACCTGGGAGATTATCCCTCCCTGACTTAGTTCAGGTCAAAGCACCTCTTAGCCCTTTCAGGTAGGCCGAACATAATCAAAAGACTAGAATTAGCCCAAAAATCTGGAGTTATCCTCCCAGTTTAGACAAATACAACAGAATACTTAAGAATCTATTATTTCTTATCTGAACTAGAACTTTTCCAATGAATTACTTACGGGGGGGACTGCAGAGCAGCTGTTGTGACGTGCTGAGCCCTGGTGTGGTTTAGGCTGAGCACTGGAGGTGTTCAGGGTGCTCGCTGCAGGTCGGCCGATTCCTGACTGACAGCGGTCTGGTGTTTTCTTACGCAGCCAGGCACATTGTGGAAGTCGATGGGAAAAAAGGCCTCTTCCGTGGTCTTACTCCTCGGCTCATCTCAAGCACTTTATCCACCATCACCAGGGGGAGCGTGAAGAAGGTAAAGGTCAGCTTTCGACTCCATAAATCAGCCTGCGGGGTCAGCCGGTGCTACTGCAGCAGAGCTAAGGAGCCTGCACGTGCTCACTCCCAGTCGTGGCTGCAGAGGAAAAGAATAAAGCATCGCTTTCTCTCCACCACTAACAGCTCTGAATAGATCTCCAGGACAAAAGGAGAACAGTGCCCATATCCCCTAAACTTATTTTGTAAATAATCCTATTTTAATTTGGCTGTTTGCTTGCCTTTTATTATCCTGTGTAAGCAGTCTTGTGACCCATTTCTTCCTCTCTTTTACTTTCCATCCTTCCTTTCTGTCTTCCTTCTTGCCTGTTTTCCTTCTCCTCTGGTCTAGAGCACAGGCTGCTCACCATTTCCTCCCGTCCTCAGATCCTGAGAGTTTGTGGGTCAGCATCTCTGTCAATTTTGACCATATGGTTCTGTTCTCCCTGCTCAGGCCTTTCCACTGGAGGACATGGAGCACGTTTCTAACAAGGATGATGTGAAGACTTCCCTCAGGAAAGTGGTGAAAGAGGTGAGAGATGTGGAGCACATCTGGGCATGGGTTGGAGAACATCTTCTGTTAATATTGCATGTTAATGAGTGATCAAGGGAGTTCACACTGGGGACATAACTAGAAATCAGAGGAAGCTAAAACAGGGGGTTGTGGGCAAAACTGCTCGGAAAGAAGCTGCGGGTACAGGCCTGGTTTAGTAGCCACTTGGGAGTCAGCTATAAAATATTTCATAGAAATAGTAGTGGGAGGTTTACTACTAACAGCAGATTTCAAAAGAGGTCTGAGACTGGTTTCCCCGTGTAAAGGAAATGGGACCTGACCCTGTGCAGATGGAGCTGCACAGTTTTTCATGCAGGTGTGTGGCTTTTTCTCCCCTTCACAGACATCTCATGAGATGATGATGCAGTGCGCGTCCCGGGTTGTCTCACATCCCCTGCACGGTGAGTCCTGCCCCTCCACCTGGCAGCCTGCTCCAGACCGAGGAGCCCTTGTCTTGGCAGCGCATCGTCCCAAGCCCCCTTTACTTGACGCATTTTTTACCCTTTATGGGAAATGGCTCCGTATGAATCTGCAGAACAAATGCAGGTCCAGAGCGGTCACTTGGAAAGCCTAACAGAGCGTGGCTATCAGGAGCTAATCCAACCGAGCATCAAGACAGTCTCTTCTCATTCACCTGAGAGATCATCCTAGAGATCCTGTTGGGGCCGGGGCCAGGAAATCCTCCCTTCACTTTCAGAGCAGGGGAGAGAAATGGTTTCTAACGAATCTTGTGATGGTGAGGACAACTGAGAGGAGTTTGAGGTGATCTGAGTTAGTTGAGGGAAGGGAGGGTGGAAGGGTCAACTTGTATTTTCCTTCGCATGCATCAGAAACAAATCAAGTGTAGTCACTTTAGGGTTCTCATCGCTGTGTTTCTTTCCTCCTAGTGATCTCTATGCGCTGCATGGTCCAGTTCGTAGGCCGGGAAGTCAAATACAGGTGAATGGCTGCAGCTTGAAGGTTTTGAGCACACAGAAGCACAAATCCTGGAGTCAGAAATGCCAGAGGCTCCCAGACAGTGGGGGATACGGTCACCCAGGAGGTCTGGGAGACCAAGGAGCAAATCTGAGCTGTGGCTAGAGAGTAAATGACTGCTGAGTGAAGGAAGGCTGGGGTCTGTCTGTGTCCTGTTAATTCAGCCTTATGCTGGTGGGTTTTCTGTGGCTGTACTGCACCTTGCTCATTACACGGTGGATTCCCTGCCTTTTTGCATTAGATGTTAATAGAAAGTGAAGACAGCAAGGACGCAGAGTAGGGTGGCACAGGTATTGCAAAGCATTGCTGTGGCTGTGCAAATCTGCATGTTTTCTGCAATCCTTTTTCAGTAGTACCTGAGCTGCCATGACGAAGGTGCCTCTCTGCAGGGTGAAACTGCACGTGCAGCCACCTGAAAGTGTGCTAGACAACAGCAGCTAACCCACAACTCCCAGCACGAGCTCCCAAAGGCAGGACAGGGTTCCTCTGCTGAGAAACAGCCCAGTCAAAGCATATTACGTGCCGTGCTTGTGGCATGCGCATATGCAAACTCTTCTAGCCTCAGCTATTAAATGCAGTTGTAAGTTGAGCGTCAGCCCAGGGTTTATTGCAGGTTGGCAAACCGTAGACATGACCGTCTTTAGTGGGTTGAGGAGGAAAACTGTGCTGCCCACTGCATTGGTGGCACGATGACGCAACGGGGGACACTGAGGGGGAATGCTGCTGTGGCTGCATGCTGCAGAGTGCATGTGAAGCTGTGTGGGAGAGACAGACTGAGCTATAACTCTGCTTGGCTATAGCGCTTCTTCTTTCTCGACAGCGGTGTGTTCAGCGCCATTGGCAGGATATTTAAGGAAGAAGGGATCCTGGGATTCTTCGTGTACGTGAGTTCTTGTTTAAATACTTTCTCCCATAGTCTAAAGGTGCTGATGGCTCTCCTAGTCACTGCAAACATCATCGAAAGAAGTCATGCTCGGCTTCCCTCCTAGCTGAAATCTTGTTTGTCCACGGGACTCTCACATCGCTCCAGTGATCAGAGATTAAATCCATGCCTTTGCGAGAGCACCAGGTCTACCTATAGGTTTGGCCCAAGGGAAGGGCCAGATCATATCTTCAATCAAGCCTTCAGAATCCAGGGAAATCCCTTTATCTTTTCATACCTTTCTGCCTTGGCACTTTGTGTTTCAGCACAGAGCATTTAAAGCACTTGTTTGTGCAACAGGCACAAAGGGCAAGTGCAACAACGAGGCCCCTTGTTGAAATAAAAGCCAGGGCCTGGATAAGAAACACATTCCTTTTTAGAGCACCACGGGTGCTTGTAATTAGCAGGTGGTTCATGCTGGCAGCAGGTTTGCCCGTGCTTTGAGAGCACATGACGCATTGCTGCCTGATCCAGCCTGCACAGAGCTCAAAGGAGTTTCCACCTGGTTACAAAGCATGGCGAATCGGTGGTATTGCTAAAGCGGAGGTCTAGCAGATACATTTTTACTTCAACCCTTCATTAGCACTTCTTGCCTTTTTTTCACCTCTATATAAAACGGAGCCACCTGCTGCCTCTGCTCCCAGCAGGTAGGCAACTCACTTTATTACATCAATAATAGTAAAGGTGGCTCCCAAAATTCCAGGAAGGGCTTTTGGGCCAAATGCATTTGGCTCTGGAACCACAGAGATGGGAAATCTGGGCCTTCGCATGAGACGTGTACACATTGGCAAGAGGAGAGCAATTGCAGGGGGTCTTGCCTTTCTTTCCCCAAAGAGAAAGTCCAGAGGTCTGTAGAGGCCACCTTGGTCAACTGTCACCAGATCGTCCTCTCGTAGCCACTCTGCCAGGCTCTGGGGTCTGCCGTCCCAAGTCTCCTCCGTTAAACACAGATTTCTCCTCTCCTGAATACTGAGGCAGATGTTCCCCACACCCAACGCATGGCTGAAGCGTGCTGCCCACCGGCCCTCACCAACGCTCCCCTCTCCTCCTGTCTGGACACCATGCTAGAAAACAGCGTGTGAAAGGAGCCGGCCGTGTTCCCTTCCCCCACATAAAGTAAACACTGTTGGTAGCCTAATTAAACTTAATAGTTCACAGGAAAGGCTTTAACACAGCCCAAAATGTCTCAGGAGGGCTCTGAAGTTGTATGTGCTCTACCACTCCACTAGGAAATCTCATTGCTGTGGAGGAAACAAACTGCATCTGTAGGACCAAACTGCTGCTTTTCTGCTCTCAGCCCTCCCAGTGCAATCCAAACATATCCACTCCCTTAAAAATCACTGAAGTTCACTTATTTCTCCTGCCCTTAAAACTTGTATGCAGCATTATCAGCAGCACACGCTCACCCTGGATGTGTGCCTGGCTAGAGATAAATCTATCCCCTGAACGCTTTGGAGTTATGCTCCCCAATGTCTTTCTCTCACTTCCCCTCGTGCCTGCAGCAGCCTCCTGCCTGCCAGCAGGATCGAAAGGTGGTTGCAGGGCTCTGAAACGGACGTTTACTGTCACACATAGCTTGAAGATGGCTTGTCCCAGTCCTCCCCATCACTGGTGTTTCTCCTGCTGGATCGTAGAAGCAGACGGTTTGTGTCACTGTACATCATGCAGGCTTCCTCATCTGCTGCTGTGGCTTTTGAGCTTTTAATGATTTGTTATCTTTTAAAAATGTTTTTCCTAGTCCACATCTCCTTGGACATCTCACCAGCCTTGAGAGCTGTAGCACAAATGAATTTAATTTTCTCAGTCCCCTTTTGAGGCTCTCTTAGACCACTGATCTCCAGTCATCCCTCATCCGCAGGCCAAACATCATTACTTTGATGACTAAGGAGAGAGAGGGATGTGATCTTTATTGCAAATGGAACAAATGATCCAATTCTTTATCAGATGGGTGAAGCTTTACTTACAAGGCTACCACCACCCAGTCCCAGTCCTGGACCAGCCCCTGTTCTGGAATTGCTCAAGCTCTTGTATTTTCAGCAGTTCAGGAACCTGCTCCAGACTTCCCTTTTGAGTTAGAGAAAGCATTTTCCCATCTCTCCAGGACCAGAGTGCCTTGATTTCTTTGTCCTGGCTGTTGCTCTCAGGCATTGTTTTTATTCAGCAGATCTTCTGTTGAGCACTTCTGCTCTTCTTAGCCCCAGCAACCTTGGCTGGGTCTCTAGAGCCACTCAGGCCTTGACAATAAGCAGTTTGACACCAAAAACACATGCATTGTAAAACAAGCGAAGCAATCAGGCTGGGTCAGAGGACGTGGTTCTGATGTCCTGGAGCAGCAAATGCAGCTGGTGCTGCTCCAGAGAGGCAGCACGTTGCTTGGGAACAAACATCTTGGACTTATGTGCTTGGAGGTGGCTCTTCCCAGCCCAGCAAACACCCACACAGCCATTAACAGCCATACTTAAAGAAGAACTCTTTGACTATCTCTGCTGGTGAAACACAGATTTAAAACACACCTGGATACTTCTGCAGTTTAACAATTGCATGAGCCAAAGCAGGCCACGCGTTCAGTGGCGGAGCAGATGCTGCCAAGGCTCTGACAAACACGGGAAGCCCTTTGACGCGCTTCATCCATGGTTTAAGGCCGTTAGAAGTAGCAGTGGAGGGAGGTAAAAGCAGAGGCACAATTCACCCCCATGTCCCCAGTGGCAGTGGGGACCAAGCCCAGATTCGGGGGCTGTGAAACTGGAGGGACCAGAGCACTGCCTGCAGCTAATCCGACTTTGCACTAGAGCAGACTTTATGGGAACAACCCCTCCCATTTTAATTTCTAAAACACTCAGAGAGGGAGGGAGAAAAACATCAAGTCTGGACCAGTGGATGGAGCCCAGTGGAGAGCATTGAGGTGAACCATGCCCACAGGCCAGGATGCTGCACTGCCGGGGGGGATCTGGAGAGCCTGGGGAGGGCTGCGGGCCCTGCTCCCCTCTCCTGAGCTGGGGGGGGGGGAAGTTCCCCATCTGCCCTGAGGTTAAAGGGGGACAGAGTTCCTCAAGAGGCAAATTCCTTGCTCTGCATCTAGAAGGGCTTCTATAACAGCTAGGGAAGACAAGCTTAACAGAAACCTACTTCACCTGTGTCTTTGTGGGGTTTCAAAACAGAAGTTGAGCCAAGAAGGGACGTGGGGAAGAACAAGGGAACCTGGCTGAGCTGTGCCCCTAATGACAGACCTGAAACCAGACCATCCCCTGGCCAGAGCAGGTGGTAGCGCTGCAGGCGTCCTCTCCTGGCCATATGCATTTGACCATATTTGAAGTGCTCTTCCTTTGCTACCCCTCACTCGATGACATCTTCCTTTCTCTCATCAGTTGCCTCTGAAAATGAAGATGCCTTTTGGGGTAGTGGGGTTCCTCTGTGCTGGCAGAGGGAGGGAGGGCTCAGCACATCTGAAGACAGCACTGGGACCCTTCTGCACCTTATATCTTTTTTTTTTTTCTTTCCTCCTCTCTCTCCTATTACCATTTCAGCGGTTTAGTCCCTCACATCCTGGGGGATGTCATCTTCCTCTGGTGCTGCAACCTCTTGGCTCACTTCATCAACACATACGCAGTGGATGATAACGTGAGTGCAAGGGCCCAATGGAGGGTTTGGGGGACCCGTGCCAAGAATCCGCTGTTGTAAGGAGTTAACGGGAAGCAGGGGTTGATCTAACACACAAGGACACTCAGCTTTCTGCCTTGCTCCCCTGCCCCACCCGTCATCTCAGGCTTTCAGAAGGATGTCATGCAATAACTGTGACAGCCTGCTGTCAGCCACCTCCTCCACAATCCCTTTGGTTTCTGTTTTTCCAGTTCAGCCAGGCATCGGTGATCCGGAGCTACACGAAGTTCGTGATGGGGGTACGTAGGCAACGTCATTTCCACCTCTTCCTGCCCTCGTCTGTGGGGCGAGAGTCTGGGGCAAAGGCTATAGTGTTTGAAGCCTGTGCTTTATATCCAAAGATTGGGATAACTCTGCTAACGTGCAGCAGTAGCTAGCGTTTTTGACATGACGGACGCTGGAGAGACGCTACCATTTCCTTTTCTTTCAGATTGCTGTGAGCATGCTGACGTACCCGTTCCTTCTTGTGGGAGATCTCATGGCAGTGAACAACTGTGGGTATGTCGGTCACGCTGAGATCTAACAGTTTTGTTCCTTTCTTCCACCCCCTTGTTGCCTGAATCCTTTGCTAATGGTCATAAAGTTTTCATACAGAACCATAAACTATATGGTACCTTGCAGAGCTGGGTTGTTTCCTGTTCCAGGTTGCTTGTAATTTTAGATCAGAGGGTGCAGACAAGGGCAAGATAAAAGCTGAAGTGAAGAGGAATAGGGAGAGTTGTGATGGTACGGTCTGGTCTCAGCTACACCAGAGGCAGAAGGGATCAAAAGGACCATACTGGCTCAGGGGAGCAGCACAAGGAAAAGCAGAGCTCTTGACGCAGCTGCAAGAGTGAGGAGAGACCTAGGAGGAAGCTGGATGAAGCAGGGATGTCTCCTTTGGCCCAGCTTGCTTTCCCAATCCCACTCCTGCCTGCTCCTCCTCTTGCGTTCATGTTTATGGGAAGTGGACTGTTACACCTCAGTGTCCCATTGCCTTGATGACTGCTTGTCCTCAAAGACATAGATCCAGCACATAGTGCTGGACTCCTCACGTATCCAGGTAACACTACTTGTTTGTACGCTCCAGGGGTAATTAAATTACATGATCTGTTGCAGTGTAAACAACAAGCTGGTTGCTTGGCCTCCAGCCCAACACGGACACTATTTCTTGTGTCCCCGCTTGCACTTATTGCTCTTGTGTTACCTCTTGGCCTGGATAACGTGACTTCTGCACAGATGCCATCTCAGCTGTTTCTTGTTGCCATGCAGGTTGTGTGCTGGCCTCCCTCCCTACGCTCCTGCTTTTACATCCTGGATCCACTGCTGGAGGTACCTCAGGGCTCAGGTGAGGGAGTGCGGTGCACGTGTTGCTTGTGGGGCTTCCTCCAGCAGCGCTGCTCCTTCCCAAGGGCTCCAGCACTGCCCAAGCAACACCCACGCTGCATCCTTGACATGATCCGTAACCTGTTTCCTGTCCCTCTGGTTATGGCGTTTGTATGGCCTGGTACAAGGTGTGGTGGTGGTACCAGTGTGCCTGTTAGATGCCCCCTTCTGCAGGCCTGAGGAGTTACCCCCAGTTTGCAGCCCATTTGCAGATGTGTTGCACACAGCAAAGACACATGTTCCTGTCCCTCCTCAGAGAGCAGCCACGAGCCATCCCTGCTAGAACAGCTTCAGCTCTGGCAACTCCCCGTTCCAGCCTCCAGCAGCCACTGCCCTTGGCAGTCCTGGTGTGGGGGGTGGGTCGTGGTCACGGCTCAGCTCCCTCAAACCGCCTGCTCTTCTTCCTCAGGGCCAGTTGTTTCGCGGCTCCAGCCTGCTCTTCCGCAGAGCGCCTGCGCAAGCGGCCTGCTTCCCCATCGATTAACTCCCTCGGCTCACAGGAAGAGGTGATGAACTTGGACTCCTCAAGAAACCCTAAGCTTGTTTTGATACATACGTATTTTTCCTTTTCAATCCGAAGTCCATGGTACCAGAACAAGCCACCTCCTCTCCAGCAAGGCCAGTGACAAACTGGCCTGCGGAGAGCTGGCTTCAGACTCCAGCCAAGCCAAAGCCCCTCCTTCACGGCTAGTTCGACTGTGATGTGTAGCAGAGAAAGTAGAAGGGAGTTGGCCCTTTGGTCCAGGCTGTTGGTCTGGAGTCACTGGAACAGCCTGTTTTAAAGTGGAAAAGGCCCAGGTACTAAACAAACCAGCCCCAAGGCATTTGCTGGGAGCCAGTGTGGGGACAAAAGACTGCTTCATTCCGCCTGAGCTGAGAAGAGGCGAAAGATCCAAGGTTGCCTTGCTGGGAAAGCCACGCTAACAAATCTCCCATCTTGTCTCTTCTGGGCAAGCATTTGTGTGACCAGTAGCTCATCCTGGGCAAGGTCAACCCTGGGACCCATAGCTAAAGGTTTTGTGAGTACCTGAGCACTAGGGAATGCTCCATCTCCTGTGGTCATGAAAAGGAAATAATATTGAAACACATAAGGGAAACAGCATCCCAAAGATGCAGATACAACTTGTCTCCAGGACAGGGTTGGGACTTGAACTAAAAATGAAGGCAGCACTTGGGGTGGGATGTGCACTGTGCACGTTAACTGCTCCAGGAAAGCCTTTTGCAGCAGTCTGGTTCAGTGGGATCAACTGTATTTAGGATATAACCAATGGTTATAACCAATGGCTCAGTCCTGTTGGGTATAACCCAGACAAGCAGGGTGTACACATCCCTAGGGTGAGACAGGTCCAGGTGTCGCTGCTTCACCTAATGGACAAGGAGCTGTACAATACTGTGCTGGGCTGCTGCATGGGATTTTCCTGCTAACAGGCTTGCCTTCCAATATGGACATTAGGTCTGTTACTGTCTGGAGTAAAGGAATAGACCTTTAGATGGCAAAAGACTTGAGACATCATGATCATGGGCTCTTCACACATGCAGGGACTTGAAGATGCTCAGATGTGGCTGGGCATTTGTGTAGCAGAGCCCACCTGCAACAGCAGGGCAGGATTTAGCCTCAGCTCCCCAGACAGCAGTTTTTTTTCCACCAGCCTGTGCTGTTACTACAGCCAGGCAAGCTTCCCCCATTTCAGTTTCCCTCCTACTCCACAAAGGAGTTTTTTTGCAACTGGTTCAGCATACTGCTGGACTTCCCTGTTGCAGGACCCAGGAAGAACTTCTGGGGGCCAGGAGCAGGTTTCCATGTGCTGCTGCAATGCTGCTAACACACACCGATGTCCTGACCAGCAGCCCCAGGGCGTTTCCAGGTGTTTCTCCTGCACCCTAGGTGACTTCAGTTCTTGATACCTGCAGGGTTTTGAGAGGTAGCTGGGGTCACATCCCATGCCTGTCCTTCGGGGACCCAGCCTGCTGTTGCACAGAGGCTTTACTCCAAGAGATGGAGTTGATCTGCACCTCCAAGCCAGGGCCTGAGGGACACAGTGACAGGATTTGTGTTTGCTGGGACCAGCAGTCCCGAGCCCAGCTCCCTTTGGTGTTGTGCGGTCAGTCCACTCCTTCCTTCCCCCTCAGCCTTCCTCCAGTACAGCTTATATTAAAATCACAAAACTAAAATAATGCATGGTCCTATTCTGTAACATGGGAGATTCTTTCAAAGAGGTTTTAACTGCTCCAAAATACAGCTATTAAAAACCATCTCTTGAGTGTTTCCTTTTTAAAGATTTTCATTTCTGTTGGATAGCAGCTTCCCTCGCTCAGGGAAGGTTTTGGTGTTAAGGCAGACAATCTTCTTCCCCAAAGAGGGGCTAAAATGAGTGTTGGAAACCAAGATCCCTTCTGCTCTTTCTCTGCAGCCCTGTTGCTCTTATCAAAGATTGGCAGCATGGGTTTTAGGCTGAGCAAATTGCATTGGGTGCACCTGGACTGAGTGTGGAAGTGGCTGCTTGAAACTCCACATACCCATTTTTCTTCCCAACTGGAACTGGACTGGTTTTTGCTGCCTTCAAAGGCAAAACAACTGGGTGTTTTATGTGTTTGTGGGAACAGCACTGAATAGAGCTGTCCTGGTGGGAGCCAGCCTGGAGAAGAGGGTTGCAGAGACCCCAAGCAAGACTCAGCCTCTCCCCAAAGCTGGGGAGAGGGGAAGCAATAGGTTGGGGGCTGGGAAGATGGCCAGGAAGCCATCACCTTTTATCAAGGCACTTCAGGGGTATCCTGGATGTTTCTCTGGGTGAAAAGGATAGCCAGAGTTATAATTAACCCTGAAGGGATACAGGCCCTTTGCTCCTATCAGGGCCCAGCTGCTCAGATGAAGCATTTGGGGAAGGGGGGAATCAGGCTCCCTGTCCCAGGCACAGACCCCATCCTCTGTTTGCTGGGTCCTCGCCCAACACATGGGCACCTACCTTTTAATGTTGGTAGTTGGTTTCTTGCCTCTCAATAGCCAATATTGCATCTCACAGACCACAGCACCTGCTCATGAAAACCATGCCTTTATCCTCAAAATTAAGGCCACTTTCTGCTACTCACAAACCTGAAAGCATCCTAGTCCCTAGGTGTGGCCTGGCTGCAGCCACTTCAGTGAGAGATGTTATTGCTTTGCCTTTAACCGTTTCACCTAAGTCTGCACCAAAGCAAGCACTCTGCCTCCAGTTTCAGCCAAGTTTACTCAGGTCCACAAACTTGGCTAGAAACAACTATTAAACATAACTTTTGGTCAATTCAAGCATAACTGAACAAGGTTTCAAAGGCCTGCAGGTAACAGGCACAAGGTGATGCACAACCTCAGCATTGAAGCTGGGGCTGGTATTAGTAGGACAATTAAATGTTTTCTTACCTCCTCCTCTAACCTGGGTTCTTCTTGTCCCTTGCCTCAATCAAGGTGACCTGCTATGGGGACAACACCTGCACCAGGACCTAGCTGAGAAACAGCCCAACTCTTACTTAGACTCCTACACCCCTCTTAAATTGCTGCCCAGGGGGTGCTGGGGGCCTCGTCAGCTCGTTAGTGGGTGCCCTGCCCCACACTGGGTGCTCATGTAGCACAGCTGATGGGGGAGGGGGGAGGGTCCCATTCCTGCAGGAAGGGGCATCCGGGCTGAAATGTGGTTGGTTTGGTCAAGAGAGTGACTGAACCCAGTGGGAAGTGGTGTGGGGCTGGCCCCGGGAACGCAGCCAGGGAGCTCGGACCCCTGGCAGGGGCCACGTCTCTTCCCTATCGAGCAAGGAAACAAACCTGTGTTTAAATATTGACTCCTGCATGAAAATCCAATGGGTGGAGATTGCTGCCTTTCCGTGCCCGTGCAGTGTTTATCAGTCCTTAGCAGAAAGCAGAGATTGCCAGGACTTTGGCCTGATCTGCTCCCAGCTGCCAGGGGAACAGGAGAGGGAAACTGAGGTCAAAGCTGCCCTGACTTTCCTTGGGGCCCGGATGCTTTGATCCAGTTGATTGTGCTCCCTGCTGGCACCTGGCTCACAGAAGGGTTGATGGCCACGATCTGGCTCGCATGGATGCCAGTTCCCCGGGCTGTGCTCAGACCGTGGTCCTGCAGGCTCCCACATGGCTCTTCAGGGCGCTTCGACCCTTGCAGGCTTTGGGCAGCGGCAAGGTGTTGGCGACCCCCTCGGCCAACGGCCCTGTGCACAGGGAAAGAACAGCTAAGCTCGGACTGATTGCAATCATCTCGTCCTCCTTGCTTTGTCTCTTCAGAGCCGTTCCACTAAAGACCCTTCGGCCAAGACTAAATTCACATGCAGCCCTCCAGCTTTCCTCTCTGCAGAGCTGGGAGGAAGCCAGCCAGGCAAGCCTCTCCCAATGGCTCTCCAGTGCCTGTCACCCTGGTATCTGGTCACTGGGAGCAGCGAGGAAGGCTGCGGGCAGCTGTTCCCCCGCCAGCCCTTGCCAGCCCTGACGGCGGTGGGGGGGCCCCCGCTTTGGGGCCGGGCCC